TCTTTGTCACACCTCCACTACCTTCCTCCCGGTCTTTCAGCCAGCCAGGATCACAGGTGCACGTGTACACACACTCAGCATATTTCATGGTGACCCAGAATCCAAACCCCTGGTCTTCCATGTGGCATTACAGAGTAGTACACTACCACCCGTGCTACCATGGCCAGATCAGGACTTAAATAATATTTCTTTCAACAAATAATTATTGAGCACTGACTATGTGCTGAATTGCAGCAGTAAACAAAATATGCCAAAAACATCCCTGCCCTTTTGGAGTCTACCCTGTCAGTGTTGGGGTTAGACAATGGGAAAAAATACAGCATATAGTGTTTCAAGTGGTGATTGTTGCTGTCAAGGTCACAAGCATCTGGAATGCTTGAGGTCAACTCAGGATCTGATTTGGGATTTGCCACCTGGTTTCTAGCACCCACATCAACATGCCACAATAGTTGGGCCCAAATAATTTATATGTCAGAAAAACCCCACCATGGAGACCATTATATCTGAGACTAAGTAAGTAAATAGCAGAGAAGCAGGAAGTGAGATCAGAGGTAGTGGATATGCCAGCTGGTGTATAGTCTTACTGGCTATTGTATGAGTTGAGCCCTTTGATCCAAATATGTATAGTCAGTCATTTCTTTTTCTTTTTAAGCAGAGGGAAAGAAATGATTGGCTGTACATATTCATTTCAGTTATTGTATCTTTCAGTTCTAGAATGTCCATTTGCCTTTCTTTTTTTCTATTTTACAGTTCTCTGGTACAAATTTTCATGTCTTTTCTACCATCTCTTTTTTGAAACATGTTAATTAGAGTGACTTAAAAATTGTTACTGCCATTGCCAGCAGATGGCATGATGGTTCGGTCATTGGACTTCCACAGTTGGCCACAGTTCATGTCCTGGACCCCGTGACTTAAAACTCATGCTGGGCACGTGTATATGTATGCCCAAAATCCCAAGAGGAAAATGGAGGAGAAGGGACTGCGGCGTGGCTATCCCCCCTGGTGATTTCTTGCGTTCTATCTCTCTCTGTCTCTCTGGGGAGTGCATGCACCCTATAGCAAAATTGTCTGCTACCTCTGTTATCTGGATCTGCCAGTTTGTTTTCTTAGATTTTGGATTTCTGTGTGCGCCTAGTAATTTTTTTATTAAATGCTCAGTATGTACATAAAAACAAGAAATTCTTTCCTCTTCTAAGCAGTTAGGAGAGTAGAGCCAAAGTTGCATTGTAAGGCTTAGGCTACCTCTGGTTTGGTTGGCTTCTAGAGACTAGCCCTTCAAGGCTTCCTACTGTTGGGCTGTCTAAAAAGTCATGCTGTATTTTTTCAATGTTTTTCTATAAAAAAAGTGTCATGACTTTTTTGACACCTAATAAAAATCTAGCATGTTCCCCAAGTTCCCTCCCTGGAAGGTCCTGAATTTGAATCTATATCTCCTTAACATGACAGATCGCTGAAAATCCAGTTTTGATTTTCAGGGGCTTTCTAGCTAGGTTCTTAGCCCTCTAAAATATGAAGCTTTAGAATTCACCAGGCATTTTAAGGCAGTGGTTCTCCATCTCCTCCATCCCTTCAAATTCAGATCTTAGATCCTCAAGTCCCCAGATACGTCTTGTTAGGTCCCCGGTACAGCCAGAAGCTACACTGGTTTCTCTGTTTTCAAGTAGTGGCTTTCCACACAGGCAACTGAGTCTCTATGCTCAGAACTAGTAAATATCCCCAGGAGAAAAGCATCTTTAGAATGTCAGCTTACCACTCCTCAGCAATTTCCTCCTCCCTGGAATCCAGATTCTTTTTACCCTGGGTGCTTCAGTGACTCTCTAATGCCTTTAAATAAATTTTTAACATTATCTGTTCTTTATATTTTTTCTTGGCCACAGTGTTGACCTGTCCCAGGTTACTTCATCCTACTTGAGAAGAATTGTCTGATTTATTTATTTATTTATTAGTTTTTTTTTTTTTTTTTTTTTTGCTATAGTTACACACCAATTTAAAAAGGAAAGAAAGAAAACAGAAAAAAAGCAGTCTCTCTCCTCTCTCTCTCTCTCTCTCTCTCTCTCTGTGTCTCTCTCTC